GCGAGGATCACGCCGCTGGAGGTCGACACCAAGGTGGCCAACGCTCTCCTGGGAGCCGTCACCGCCGCAGCGCTGGCCTCCGAGCTCGCGAGCCGAGACGCCTCCATCTCGGGCCTGCAGGCCTCCAAGGCGGACGCCAGCGCGCTGACGGCGTACGCCCCGCTGTCGGCCGTCGACACTTCCTCGGAGGTGGACTCTAAGATAGCGGCGGCCCTCTTGGACGCTGTCACCACGGCAGCCCTGGACGCCGCCCTCCTCGGCAAGGCGGACGCAAGCGCGCTGGCCTCCCTGCTCTCCACGGTGGACGGGTTGGACACGCCGCTGGAGGTAGACACCAAGATAGCAGATGCCCTGCTGGGTCTCGCCACCGAGGCCTTCGTCGCAGCGCAGCTTGCTAGCCGGGACGCCAGCATCACGGCGCTCCAGGGGGCCAAGGCCGACGCGACGCTTCTGGCCTCGTACGCCACGAACGCCGCGCTCTCAGCCAGCGAGACCACGCTCCAGAGCGCCCTCGACGCAATCCTCGCGGAGCTCGCCGCCCTGCAGCTTTCCGGCAGCGGCGGAGTTGTTAACGCACCGGCCTGGGCGGGCTTCACAACTTGGGAGCTCCTTCGCGGAAGCAACGTCGTTCGCAACCTGCATTTCGTGGCTCCTCTCTCTGCTGCGCTTGCCAACGGCGACGACACGCTGAGCATCACGGCAGACTGCTACTCCGTCGCAGCGGCGGACGCGGCCCTCGCGGCTGCGCTGCTGGCCTACTACCCCTCGGCGCAGGTAGACGCGCTGTTGGGAGACTACCGCACAGGGGCAGCGCAGGACGCTGAGACGACCAGCGCCATCACAGCAGCGCTGCTGGCCTACTACACCTCGGCGCAGGTAGACGCGCTGTTGGGAGACTACCGCACGTCAAGCGCGCAGGACACGCAGACGCAGGCCGCCATCGCGGGCGCGCTCTCGCGGCAGCGCTGCAGGCCTACCGCCACCGGGCCAGCTCAGGACACGTTCACCACAGCCAGAAATCGCCGCAGTAGCGCTGGTGGGCTACCGCTCAGAGGCAGTCAAGCGGCAAAGTCAGAGCCGCAGACCAGACACGCGACGGCCTCAGACAATCCCAGAGTCACAGCCGCGCTGCTCAGCTACTACACCATCGCGCAAGTAGACGGCCTCCTCGCCGGCAAGCTCGGAGTCACGGAGGCAGCCTCTGCGCTGCAGATAGCAGTGCGCTTTCCGGACGACGGAGGGCCGACGAGGTGGTGGCCGCCATAGGAGAGCAGATCCTGGCCCCCACGGACGTCTCGCTGTCAAACTGGACGGTTCGCCCCAGCAGCGGCTGCAGCGTGGTCCTGGCCACGCACACCGCGGGAGTAAGCGTGGACGGCTACACCCTGACCCTGGCGGCGAACCCGTGGACCATTGTGCGCACCTACAACTTGACGCCCGGCAGAGAGCTCCTCTTCGCCTGCCGCTACCGGCTCGGCACGGCCTCCAACTTCGTGGTGTACATGTCCGAGGCCGACACCGTCTACGACCCATTGTACGGCAGCTTCGTGGGCGACCAGGGCGCCTGGAGCACGGCCAAGATGTACTTCACCGTGCCGCCCAACGGGGTGGCGAAGCTGCACTTCGGGGCGCACTTCCAGGCGCCGGGCCTGCCCAACCAAACGGCAGGAACGGTGGACGTCTACGGCCTCTGGACGCAACCCTGGAGACCGGCACAGCGGAGGAGGAGACGGCGGCCTCGGCGCTGCTGCTGAAGCACGAGTTCCTCGACGGAGGAGCCGACGACGTCACGCTGGCCACCCTGGGCGAGGTGCTGCTGGAACCCACACTCACCACGCTAGGACATTTCCTGGTGCGCTCCAACAGCCAGAGCTCCGTGGCCTCGGCCAGCTTCACTGTGGGAGGCTTCCAGCTGGAGGGCTACGCCATGACCCTGAGCGCCTTCGCCTGGAACATCGTGCGCACCTATACGCTGACGCCGAGGAGACGCTACTCCTTCGGCTGCCGGTACCGGCTGGGCAACGGCCTCCAACCTTGGTGTATGGACGTCCAGCGCGGAAGCCGACAAACGACTAATTACGTGGGCGTCACACCGGCACCCTTCACTCGGAACGCCCGCGCAGGGAAGTGTTGGAGTTGTTCTTCGCGCCTGGACTTCTCGGTGCCGCAGGGCGGAATCGCGAAGCTGCACCTCGGAGCCTTCGGAGGCTCGATCCCCGGGCTGGTGCAGCAGTCGGCGGGCACGCTGGACCTGTACAGCATGCAGATCAGGGCCAGCGCCTTCGAGGGAGAGTCTGTCTCAGTGACGGACCTGCTGGCGGACTCGCTGGCCCTCACGGGCTCGGCCACGCTGGACGGGCTCACCGCGCATGGCAACGTGGGCTGCGACCAGCTGCTGTGCAACGACGTGAACTGCACCGACGTGTTCACCACGGGCGTGGACGCCTCGGGCACAGTCTCCTGCGCTGCGCTCACAGCCGGCACCGTCGCCGGGGCCGCGCTGTCGTCCACGGGGGCCGTGTCAGGCAGCTCGCTGAGCATCAGCGGCGCGGCCAGCGTGGGCCTGCTGAGCTCCGACACGGGAATCACGGGCAGCACGTTGACCATCAACAACACGGCCAACGCCGGGAACTTCACCACGGTGGGCGACGTGTCCACGGGGACATTGACGGCCTCGGGCGCAGCAACCGCGGCGAGCTTCGCAGCCACCGGGGCGCTCACGGGCGCCACGCTGACCACCGGTGCGGCCTCCACGGGCCCGCTGTACTGCGAGAGCCTGGACTGCACCTTCACGGCCACGAGCGGCGGAGTGTCGACGGGCAGCGTGGTGTGCGGCGACGTGACGAGCTCGGGCACGGTCCCCGCGCCGCAGCTCTTCGCGTCCAACACGCTCACCGTGACCAACACCTCCGACTTCTCGGACGATCTCTTCTTGACGAAGAACTGGGCGGGCTGGAGCAAGCTGCAAGTGTCCAACAACAGCGCGGCCCCCAACAGCGGCCCGGAGCTGCGGCTGCTGGGCAACCAGAGCGCCAGGGTCTTCCTGGAGCGGGACGGCGGGGCGCACCAGTGCGAGCTCATCATGATCAACGACGAGGCGCTGGTGCAGACGAAGAGCCTCTCCACGCACACCGCCAGGTGGAGCGACGGCACGGAGATGATCACGCTTGACTACTCGCACCTCACCAGCGTGCTCTGGGGGGTGTGCAAGGGCTTCCAGGCCCGGCTGGACGAGTTGGCAGGCCCAGCGGGGGCCGAAGAACAAGTAAACATGGAGGCGCTGAGGGACCTGGCCGACGACTTCAACGTGCGGGACCCGCGGAAGCTGTACCAACTTGCGAGGCAGCGCGACCTCGACGTGACGCAGGCCATGGCCTTCGAGGCGCTGAAGGCCGACGTGGGCCGGCAGGTGCAGGCGCCCCGGCCGCGCGCACTGGGCAAGTCGGCCGCCGAGGGGCCGAACGACCGGCTGCAGGCCGACCTCATCGACTTCAGCCAGAACACGCGGGGGAAGACGAAGTATGGCCTGGTGGTGATGGACGTCTACACCCGGGAGGCTGCCGTGGAACCTCTGCAGAACAAGAACGCCGAGACGGTCGGCCGGGCCACCAAGCGTGCCACGCAGGAGCTGACGGGGGACGACAAGAACTTCGTGGTCACGACCGACCTGGGCAACGAGTTCGCCACGCTGGACCGGGAGCTGCCCGCGGAAGCCGTGCACCGAACGAAGCGCCCGGAGGACCGCAACGCCACGGCCGTGGTGGACCGGGGAATCCAGACGCTGAAGAAGGACCTGGCCACGCGCGTGGCCCGCAAGGGCGGCCAGTGGAGCGACCACTTTGAGCAGACCGCTTCGGCCTACAACGCGCGGCCCCACGAGACGGTGTATGGCGCCCCGGAAGACGTGGAGAAGCAGCCGGCCACAGAGTTCAGGGTCCTCCAAGACAACGCCGACAGGTTCCAGCACAACAAGGACTTGACGAACCGCCGCATCAAGGCAGTGGAGGACGCGGGCGCTTTCCGAGCACCGACGAACGCGGCGAGGAGCTTCAACCCTCAGTACGGCGACGTGCAGCGCTGCGGGCCGTGGACTCCATGACCGTCCGGAGCACCGAGGGCCGGGAGACCCTGCTGAAGCTGGCGCTGCCGGCGCCCCAGGGCAGCGGCAACGCGGCGGGCCGACAGACGAGGCGGGGCAGGCCGGCAGCTGTCAGGCAGCTGGACGACTTCCTGGCGCCTCCAAGGCCCAGGACCCTCGACTGATTACGGCTACTTTGGACCAAACTGGAAACTTTGCATAAAGCGCTGGAAACTTGTAGTACTTTGAGTCGTGTTTTTGGGGAACCCTAGCATGATTTTCCTGAGAGCACCCCTCTCGGACGACATCATTATAAAAATCTAAATCCCCATTTCCGTGTCCTCGACCTATCGACCTGCCCGAGCAAGACGTCGAGACCGCAGAAGCCTCAGGCATTGAGGCATCTAACAAGGGTTGGACATCAGAGGTGCGCTCAAGACAGCAAGGGTTGGACAGTGTTTTCCTTGCGCAAGCACGCCATCTGTTCACGTGACTTGCCGGGTCTCTGCAAATGGCTGACACTGTGCGTCACCCAAAAGCATAAGAGCTACTTGTCGATGCCGATCGGAGCTTCACACCCACCATGCGCTCATTTTGCTTGAGGGTGGAGATGTACCGCGGGCCATAGGATTGTCCTTTGATCCCCAACTTCGAGATCACGCTCTTTGCCGCGCCCAAGGTGTCCAGGCTGAGGTAGGTCTTCAGGCTTGCTTCCTTCAAGGGCACCAGCTCACACATCTCTGTCATGAAGGCCTCGGTTTGGCCTCCTCGTCCTTGTCTGCACATGGGACCAGGTCCATGGCGCTCATCTTCATCTCCGGTGGCTGCGGCTTGATCTCGGTGCCTGGGTTGTACTCCATCTCCAACGAGTCCACGAGATTTGCCGCAAGGAAGAAGATGTACTTGTTGAACTCTCCTCGGTCTATCCGGTCTTGAGGCCATCCACGGCTCGCTCCTCGGTGGCCATGGACGGCTTCAAGGTGAAGCTGACCGTTGTCTGGCAGACTCGAAGCCGCCGCAGCATCCCATCCGGTCGAGTCACACGGGGAGGGTGATTGCTTGTTGCCACCAGCAAAGCCGTAGGCATGAAGTCCCGGGGACCCTTGTTGAGCTTCCTGCTGCAGACTGGCGCACCTTCCATGTCACAAAAGGGCTTGATGAAGTCATCCGCCAACGAGTAGTGCTCGGGGACTTCACTGGCCCAGGCCAGCCGCTTGCCTAGAGTCCTTGCATGGTAAGGCGCGGGTCCGTCCTTCGCGGTCAGGTAGCGAGTCTGCTGCACCACATAGTTTCCCGGAAGCTGCACCCCGGAGTTGTTCTCTTTGTGACCGAAGAAGGCGTGCAACATCTTCACCTTGGTGTCCTTCCCGGAATCCTGGCTTCCCCAGATGTAGTACATCTCGCAGAACCGCGGCGTCGCGGAGATGGCCCTGGTCATGAGACGCAGCTCGTACAGGACGGAGTCCCAGTCCCCGTACACCTTCATGTGGCGGAGGATCTCGCACCCGTCCTGCTCCAATTCCTCGAAGCACTCGATGACCTGTTTGCCATTCTCGCTGGCCTCGAGCAGACACACCCCCGTCTCCACATGCTCCTTCAAGAAAGCCAGGATGTGCTCGAAGAGCTTGGTCGCCTTGCTCGGCTGCCACATCTCTGTGGTCGCCGCTGCGTGGAAGCCCATGCGGTCGGCGGGGATCGGTGATCGGAGGACACGCTCCTTGAAATCGTGGAGCATGCCGTCGCAAAAGAGGATTTTGTGCCGTGTCTCGTCGCCGTCGAGGTCCGCCATCTGCGGGCCTGCCAGACGCCCCAGAACGGACGAGGACAGACCGGTGAAGAAGGCATTATCGTTGAGGGGCGGCGGCGGCACGTAGTTCTCATTGGCTGTCTCGAAGACCGGGCAACACATCTTGTTCATCAGGTCTTCCACGGTCTGGCCCAAGTCGTCCCGGTTTCGCACCAGCCAGAAGCCTCCCTTCTCGAAGCTTTCGTAGGTGGTCCTCTTCTCACCCCCCTCCACCGGAACGTGTACGAGGGGCCAGCTTCGCCGCCGCCAGCTTCGCAAAGTCCACGGTGTTTGCCCTCGCCCGTCCAAGTATGACGTGCTGCCTGCAGCGCTGGAGCAGTTGGTGGTACCCGGAGAACTCCATCTTCGACTTGAGTCTCCAATCCAAGTTGGGGTACTTCGCCGCCGCGTATGCCCACGGGTCCTCCAGCTCGTGCACGACCACCTCGACATCCACGGCTCGCTTCACGGCCTCGCTCGCAGAGCGGAGGGCCCCGATGCCGTCGTGCTGTCGTTGAAGGTGCTGCTCGCTCTCCATCTGCAACCTCTCGTGGTGGGCGTACAGGGCAAAGGCCCCCGAGGCAGTGGAGCGGCCCTGCTCCATGTGCCAGTCCTTGGCCTTCTGTGGCAGCAGCTCAAAAACGGCCACGTGGTAGAGGCGCGCCGCCGTCTCGAAGCCGTAGAGCCTAGCAGCCACCTCGCCGCGCTCCCCCTCATCCGAAGCCAAGGGTATGTCCTGCAGCACCTTGCTCGTCCAGTTTGCGAAACCACCCCCAAAGCCCAGGGCAATCATCAGCTCCTTCGCCACGCTGCGCCGGCGGGCCTCGGGCAGCGTGTGGAAGAGCACGCGGCCGATCTGCGCGAGCTTCTCCTCACGGTGGTCCAGGTACTCCGCCATGATGGGCGGCAGCGGCTTCTGTCGGTTCAAGAGCTGGAAGAACGAGTTCTTGATGTCCAGCTCGACGGTTCCAAGGCGATGCCGCGCAATGTGCGGACCAACTTCTTGAAGGCAAACGCAGAGCGCCCCACAAGCGTGTCTGGGACTCCCATCTCGATCTCCTTGCGAATCTCCGGCGGCAGCTGCTTCATGAACTCTGCCCGAGCGGAATCCACGGCGCCCTCATTGCCTTTGCGCTTTTTGGCAGGCGCCTCCTGTGCGGGCACCCGACCGATGCCGGAGAAGATCCGCCCCTTCAGCCCAGGCGCGGTGCGGCCTGGGCGCAGGAGCACGGGAATCCACCCAACGCCGTCCTGGTCCACATTCACAGAGCGCTTGAACAGGCTCATCAGCACATCAAAGAGACTGTAGTCGGGGCATCGCCGCACGGCGTCGAGCTGCAGAGCGTTGCTGATGGTGAACACGTCCGTCCGCTCCCAAACAAGACGATGGTGTTTTAGGTTATCCGGGAGGCTCGGTAAACTACTCCTTGAACTGCGTGTAGTGCCCCAGTTGGGCGGGTGTCGGAAGCTCTACCTCCTCCTCTACCTCCTCCACCTCCTCCTCCTTGACCTCCGTCTCCATCTGCTCCGCCGGCTCCTCCGTCTCCGTCTCCATCTGCTCCGCCGGCTTCTCGGCCGGCTCCTCGACCGGCCCATGGCCTCCGTCTCCTCCTGGGCCTCAGCCGGCTCCTCGGCCGGCCCATGGGCCTCCGTCTCCGTCTGCTCCTCCGTCTCCATCTGGGCCTCGGCCGCCTCCGCGCATGGGGGCGTTGCGCCACACGCAGAACTCTTGCACCTCCTCGGCGGAGATGCCGAGGCGCCTCCAGTCGTGGCGCAGCATGGCGTCGAAGTCCGCGCACACCTCCTCCACGCTCAGCTGCAGCAGCTCGGCCAGCTGCCGGGGCACGCAGAGCGGCTTGTCCTCGAAGGCGCTCGGCAGCACGTCCTCCTCGCAGGGCAGCTTGAAGCTCACGCTCCTCAGGCCCCTCATGCGCTGGCGCAGGAGCGTCTCCACCTCGGTCCTGGAGTTCCTGTAGTGCGTGCTCTGGGTGCTGACCACCCAGTGCCCCTCGGGGTCGAGGAAGTAGGTCTCGGCCGAGAGCTGCAGGATGGGCCAGCCCGGGTCCAGCATCCTCCCACTTTGCCTACACCCGCTGCCCACCTGCTCCTCCGGAGGGTCGCGGGTGTCTCGTTGGCATGGGCAACACGCTTTTCACAGCGAGCCAGTCCCTTTCAGATGGTCCCAGCCCTTCTGCGCCTCCTGCCCCGGATGATCACCGGCACGTGGACCAGGTACTCGTATTACTTGTCGCGGAAGAAGCCCTTGCCCAGCTTGGTCAGCCGGTGCTCTCCGCCCTGCAGGGAGCGCACGAGCTTCTTCTGCCCGTTGCGCAGCAGGATGTGGTCGTTGGGCCCCTCGCGGATGAGGGGCTGGTTGTAGTCGAAGTCCTTGCTGGGAGGCCGCAGGCCCAGGTGGGAGTAGTAGTGCTGGCCCGCACGGGTCAGCTGCCCGTCCCGCCGAGAGCAGCGCGTAGGCCCCTCCGGCCGCCGCCGCAAAGTAGTAAGGAATGTCTGCTTATACTACCCTATTAATTTTCGGATTTGGGTCCCCAAACCCGCAAAACAGCCAAATTCTCCAACCAGCTGAACGTTTTTCCGATGTCACCGGTCTTTGTCACCACTCCGTTTTTGGTGCAAAAAGCGCTGAAAACGGCGACTCCGAAAAGTGCGTTTTTTCGTGTCAGACGTCAAAAGTGGAGCCCGAGCCTCCAAGTTCGCTCGTTTTCCGCCGAAAACCGGCTCCAGATGTTTGCGTGCTCCGAATTCCGTTTTCTGCCCCGAAAAGCCTGCGAATTCCAGCCCGCTGAACTTGTCACCGCTTGTCACTTCGTCACCGCTCGCTTTTGGGTGCAAAAGAGCGTAAAATCGGGCCCAGTTCCCGAGCTCCTTCTCCGCGGGTTTTTCGCGGTCCGTCAGCCCGCCGAGGTCCAGGCTCGGAGTCCGACAGCCCGCCGAGGTGGTCCGTCAGCCCGCCGAGCTTGTCACCACTGATGTCACCACTGAGGTCACCGCTCCATCCGGCTCCGGTTTTTGGTGCAAAAAGCGCTCAAAACGGTCGAGTCCGAAGAGTCCGTTTTTCGTGTCGGACTGCAAGTGGGATGCCCGAGCCTCCAAATTCGCTGGTTTTCGGTGGAAAGCGGGCTCCAGACGTCAGTTTTCCGCTTTCGGCCCGGAAAAGCGGCGAATTCCAGCCCGCCGAGCATGTCACCGCTTGTCACCGCTTGTCACCGCTTCGTCGAGGTGGTCCGTCAGCCCGCCGAGCTTGTCACCACTGATGTCACCACTGATGTCACCGCTCCATCCGGCTCCGGTTTTTGGTGAAAAAAGCTCAAAACGGTCGAGTCCGAAGAGTCCGTTTTTCGTGTCGGACTGCAAGTGGGATGCCCGAGCCTCCAAATTCGCAGTTTTTCGGTCGAAAGCGGGCTCCAGACGTCAGTTTTCCGCTTTCGGCCCGGAAAAGCGGCGAATTCCAGCCCGCCGAGCATGTCACCGCTTGTCACCGCTTGTCACCGCTTCGTCACCGCTCTCTTTGGGGCCGAAAAGTGCGCAAAAATGCTGAAAAGCGAAACCAGCTCCGCGGCTTCGGTCTGCGGGCCTGGAAAAGTGCGCAAAAGGCTGGCCTGGTGCGGGCCTGGTGCGGGCCTGGTGCGGGCCTGGTTGCGGGCCTGGTGCGGGCCTGGTGCGGGCCTGGTGCGGGCCTGGTGCGGCCCTGGCAATCCTGTTGTGGGCCCAGGATTGCTGCCTCAATCCTGCTGTGGCAACAGGA